GAGAGAGTCGTATTGGCATTCGCATCAAGCGCATTGCGCATTTTTCGAATTTTGGCCCCCTTCCAGGGACCTTGATTTTTACCCGCTGGCACTGACGTCTTTTAATTGGTCAGCCGGTTAGCACGGTCGATGCTAATAATAAAAAACACACACAATAATTTGTCCTCGCTCTTTTATTTCATTTTCTCTTTGCTTACTGTTTCCTTATTTTTTCTTCTCTTTTTCTCTTTTTTTTTCTCTCTTTTTCTGTGCCAGATGGCCTTGTCTCTGCTTGCGTTGTGAAGTACCAAGATTGAACCAAGGGGGTGTACCTCATTCTCTCCGGCCCATGATGGTGACTCCTATTCGTCTTAGTTGATACCTCGCATAGCGCGCAGAGGGAGTGGAGGACTCCAGAATATCTGTCGTTGATTTGTATTGACTTGCGGACCCCTCGGGGCCATTTTATTTGAGTGTACCTTTTTCTTAGGGTAAGTTAGCCTGCGACCACGGGAATCGACCGCGTCGAGTGTCGGATCGGTACGGACACACGAAGGTACTGGGTAGAGAGAGATCGGAACGGTTTTTAATATGAAGACAATAACAACAACAACAACAATATGCGTACCTGTGTGGTATGTAGAACCCACAGCAGGTGGGTTTCGTAGATGCACATAAATACATACATACATCTGTACCTACAACCTCTTCGGGCTTGTGTACCCTTTTCCTACTAGTTTGCGTATTCCTCAGACCTTCTGATGGCTCAAGTATTTTTTTGGGTGACCGCGGACTGAGTCTTCGCTAGATTTTGGGATTATTAGCAACTGACGCGAGTTCAATGTGAAGTTGTTGTTGTTGTTGTTGTCTTCACATTCAAAACCATCCCGGTCTCTCTATCCAGTACCTCCTTCTGTCTCAATCTCTCCGTACTAATCCTGCACTTGACTCGGTCAATTTCCGTGGTCACAGGCTAACGTACCTAGAAAAGGTATACCAAAATAAAATGGACCTCAAAGGTTAGCAGAGCGATAAAATACAAGAAAACAAAATAATCAGAAACAAATAAATACTGAGTAAATATATAGTGGAACGTGCGCACCACCAGCCTGGGGGGTAGCCTTCCGGAAGGACCTCAAGGGTCAGCAGTACGTGCCAGTAAAAAAACAAAACAACATACAACCAAATAAACCAAAGACAGACGAGGACATAAACAAACTCGCACAGAGACAGGGATATCCGTAGAGACAGTCTGAACGCGACAGCAAACGGGGGAGAGGGCAACAGAAAAACTAGTCGCTGAAATTCAACCGCAACATGTCACGTCACGCGGTCGGTCTCTTCTCGCTTGCTTTCTTCCCGCGCCGTTTCCTCCCGCCCCCCTCCCGCCCCGTTGATTGGTGCCGTATCTAGACTATTTTTGGGCCCGCTGTCTCTTCGTTTGATGGCTCGTTGTCGGCTGGCCTTCTCCTCGCCCTTGTGCCGAGAGGCCATAAACCTCTCAGCTCCCTGTAGCACCCCCGCGTGAGGACAAACGAAAAATAACACATAGATCTAGCCTATTCCGTCTAGTTCCGTAACCGTTCATTTTGTACCTCTGACTGTCTGCCCATGCCGCCTCTTTGTCCTGCTTGCTCCGTTACTCCCATGCCCTGGTGCGTAGTGCCTGGTGCTGGTACGTTACCCTTTGATTTTTACTTTATTTAGGCGGGTCGGGTGTGGGAAGCGTCCTCCATTGTTTTCGTTTTATTTTGATCGGTTTCCGACGGCTCTTTCCTCGAACGGTCGGCGCGATACCTGTTGGTTATTTCCTTTTTGAGGAGTGGCCAACATCGGGTACATCCGGCTACAATCCGGCCATTATCGGGTACACTTGTTTTACACAGTCGGCAGCGCCCTCCTGGCGCCATCTGATTGGCCGACGCCCGCCCCTACCCCCCC